CCCTTGACGGATTTGAAGGCTGGGACATTTTGACAGACGAAGGCTTGCAGAGAGGACTGGACTTATGCGATGAGCTTGATCACGGCCATATGGCCCCTCCATGCAGGACGCTGACAAAAGCTCGCAGGTCAGATGAGTTCGGTGTGGCGAGAATCTTGAGGTCAGAAGCCTACCCAGAGGGTTGGGGTGATCCAGAAGCTGAAGAAGGTAACAAAATCGTCGAGAGGATGGCGCAGATGATTTTGAGGCTAGTTGCAAGAAAGAGGACCTTTTCAGTGGAGAACCCATGGCATTCCTTTATCTGGCAGCTGAAGGTGTTAGTGCAGCTTCTTCGACTGCCGGATGTCGAGTTGGTGATGCTGCATCAGTGCCCATATGGAGCATTGACGCCGAAAGCTACAGGCATTCTCACTAATGCAAGCTGGATGAAGAAGGTTTGTGCATTGTGCCATCAAGTCAGATTGCACTACCATTTGAAGGGCGGCTTAGTGGGCATGGCCTGGTCGTTTCAGGAAGATAAATATGTGTGGAGGACTTCATTAGCTGCAGAGTATCCGTGTGGGTTGACAATTGCATGGACCAGAGCATTGTTGGATTGGCTGCAGTCAGATGTGGGACATAGCTGGATCAACCAGCGCAGTTTCGTCAAAGTGGGACGATGGCAGAACACCCTCATTTTGGCGGAGAGGCTGGACAGAAAGCGTAAGGCAGATGACCAGTCCATGAAGGAGACTTTGCTGGAAAAGAGGGAAAGAGAGAACAGAGAAGCCTTGGGGGGCTACGGTTCGCAAAGAGAGCTGTTGCAAGATCCACGCCTTTGAGACTAGCAGGTGAGAAGTTGCGGAATGTTTTGGATGCATGGATCAACGATGAACTCGTGCGTTCCATTCAGGCAGAGCTGCATCAAGGCATACCTGAGGATGAGGTCCGGAGGCTCCAGCAGATGATTAGGCTTGAGTTTGGGACAGAAGGGTCATCGCAACAATGGCCAGTGGATTTGTGGAAAGCATTGTTGACTGCGGCACAGGACCCGGAGCAGGAGGTGTTGCCGCGATGGATGGAGCAAGGTTTCCCGCTTGGCATTGTTTGTGACATTGATTACACAAAGGTGTTCCCAAAGACAGATGGTGACACAGCAGCAGTGACCGCGTCCAGGATAGAAGGAGTTGTGCTTGAAGACCACATGGGAGATCTTGAGAACTACAAGAGTTTCAAGGATAGTTCGGATAAGGCACAACTCTTGCTGGACGAAATGGTTGACAAAGGCAGGGCCACAGTGCTGCACACTTGGGAGGAAGTTTGCAACACATTTGGACCGGAGGCACAACTGACCAAAGTAGGCTGCTTGGTGAAGCTGAAGGAGGACGGCGCAGTCAAGTCGCGCCTGATTTTTGACGGCAGGAGGTCAGGGGTCAACGGTCGTATAACTTGCAGGGAGCGTGTAACATTGCCAAGGGTATCGGATGTTGCACAAGGTTTCTTGCAGTTGGTAAGCAACAACAGTCAATGGTTTCCGGGATATTACATTGAGTTGTTTGCCCTTGATTTCAAAGATGCCTTCAATATGCTTCAGCTGAGAGCTGATGAGAGGAAGTTCGTGGTCATGAAAGGGCTACCAGACGACAAGGGAAGACAAAGATACTATGTTAGCTCCTGCGTCGTGTTTGGTGTGGCAACAGGGCCACTTGTGTGGTCAAGAGTGGCTGCAGCTGCAATGCGCCTTGGCCAATCAGTCATGCAAGCATGGGAGACAGATGTGCATTGTTACATCGACGACCCCTTGATTGTTTCAGTTGCCCAATCCACGGAACAGCACACTAGACATTTGCTTTGCTACACAGGCCTATGGCGAAGTTTAGGTCTGGATGTTTCATGGAAGAAAGTCGTGCGGGGTCAGACTTTGCAGTGGATTGGATTTCAACTGACGGTCACAGGACCAGACAGTTTGGATATGCAAGTGGAGTTGGCAGAAAGCAAGAAGCAAAAGCTCCTGGATGTATTTGAGCAGCTGGAACAAAATCATGGCATGATCCCGTTGCATCTTGTGCAATATGCTGTGGGTGTTTTGGGCTGGCTATCATCAGCGATTCCTGCTGCGCGTCCGTGGATGGCTATGCTGTGGGCTGCGCTGACAAGTGTTAGAGAGCCAACCAAGGCTACTACCAGACGTCGCAAGGGCCTCATTTTCGCAAAACAAGTTGCAAATGCCTTGAGATGGTTGAAAGCTTTGTTGCATTTACGTCAGGGCGAACCTGGTCTGTGCAAACTGCATTGCTGGCGACCGCAGGCTGTCACGGTGATGATACAAACAGATGCTTCCCCATGGGGGCTGGGAGCAATCATCGTTTCGGGACAGCAGATCCTGGCGTACATCAGTGACCCGCTGCATGAACAGGACTATCAGTTGTTCAACTCAGTGCCTGGCAACCCGTCCTTTCAAACGGAGTATGAGCTGTTGGCAATCTATGTGGCACTGAAAGAGTTTGCTCCTTGGACCCATGAACGGGGGGCACAACGAGTCGTGCTGAGGAATGACAATACCTCAGCTCTGCGGACGGCCTTCAGTTACAAGGCATCCAGTCCCATCATGACTCAGCTGGCAGCTGAGATTTTCTTAGAGATGGAAAGTCAGAACGTGATCCACCTGATCCCACAGCATCTCCCAGGTGCGCTGAATTTCGTGCCTGATCAGCTCAGTCGACCTCAGACTGCAAAGCTGCCAGCGGTGCTGCACAATGTACCTAAGGTCAATGTGCCGGCACGATCACGTGCATACTACAGGGCCTGGCCAGAGCGCTAAGGCGGTGTGCGCAAAACATCCTAGCATTTCGGAGGCGACGGAGTCAGGGGGAAGGAGTTGGGGCCTCCTTTTCTTGGGTAATTCGTCGCTTTCTGGTTGGTTAGGTACCACCTAGTGGGTGGGGGGTCTGCCTAGTGGGCAGGCAGGCAATGGTCTGCTTAGTCGGCAGGCGGTTGCATCTTGGCAATGGCCTGCTTAGTCGGCAGGCGGTTGCATCTTGGGCTTAGTGGGCCAGGAGCTACTTAGTAGGTAGCTCCAGCAAAGGTGTGCACGGGTGGTTTCCCTCGTAAATCGAAGTTTCCCCCCCCTTTTCGGTTGGCTCGTGTGGAACCATTCTTGTGCGTTACCTCAGTTGCGGAGTTGACTTGCCCTTCTCACCCCTTTGCAGCTTGTCCTTACTCAAATGCTCACGGGTTGGACGCGGAACCCTTTTAGAAAGGGAGGATCTAGACCATGCGATCAGCGTGAAGGGCTGTGCACCGATGAGGTTCCACCAGCGGTTGCCAAGGCTAGAGAAAAGCTGGCGGCTGCAGGAGTCTCAGTGGTAGAAAGATCCAGATCGCCAGTGAGGCAAGCAAATTCGTGCATGCAGGGCACTCACGATAGCAGAACGGACCAAGTGAGTGGACATTTTGAAAATTCGAAGATGAAATTGATTTTGCACAGCGGAGAAATTTTGACTAGGGCAAGAGCTGATGGCCCGTGGAGGCCTATGGAGCAACAACGTAGGCCAATCAGAGGGCAGGCCAAATTGGCAGAGAGAATTGCTGCCAGCAGTCAGATGAGGCGAGAAGCGCTATTGGCGTATGACGCCTTGGTGTACGCTCCTGGTTCGTGCCTGGCTAAGGAATCCTTGTTTGGAACTTGGTGCCGCATTAGTCGAGCTAAGCATGAGGACCCGTTGCCGCTGACGCCCGCGAAGATCAGGGAGAATGTGGCGATCCTCAGGAGCGCAGGCTACAAGGCAGCCAAGAGCTATGTGTATGAGGCTCGTGACAGACATTTGCGAGCCGGGCATGAGTGGAACCCCCAATTGCAGGTAGCAGTGCAAGATGCGAAAAGAGTTGCTGAGAGGGCTGCTGGACCTACGATCAGGTCAGAAGAGGTGCGATCGTATGTCTGGGAGGACTTGCTGGAACGGCATGGCTCGTGCGCAGTCGGCAATGATGCATCGTTGAGGGCCCCGAACGGAGGGGCTTTGGTCTGGGTAGTTGGGGCAGCCTTCGTCCTACGTGAGGTTGAATTGGCTTCACTCACCCTGGATTGCGGTTGCTTGGAACTCAACGACTCAGCGCTCACGGTCACATTGAAGCTGCCGGTTAGCAAAAGTGACGCGTCTGGCCGGGGAGCGGCTAGAACACTAGGCTGCAGCTGCAAAGGTTCTCGTCACTGGTTGTGCCCTTTCCATGCGGTAAAAGAGCTAGCAGAGCTGCAACGTGAGCTGCTTGGCATCGAAGACCGCGGTATGGTGGCGCCCGGGGTTGTTCCCTTGGTAGGCACGGTGGAAGACTCGGCAAGTTTTGTTGAGAAGGATCAGCTGGTGATGGAAGCACAGAGACAGGTGGGCATTTATTTGAATGAGCATCCGAATGAAGCCATTGCCGTTGAGCGCATCACTGGCCACTTCATGCGAAGATCTGGAATAAAAGAAATGGCTAGAAAGGGTTGCACTTTCAACTCCATACAGTGGTTCGCCCGACATTCTAGTCAAGTCACTTGGCAATACATCGAGGAGTCCTGGGGCGAAAACGCTGAACATTCCCTGAAGCTTCGGGATGAGATGCAGCTCACGGAATGCGTGTCGTCGGTTCTTGGAAAGGTCAATCGGTTAGAAGAAGCAGTGAGCTTGCAAGAGGATCGAATTGAGCAATCCTTGCAGCAAGACGGATTTGTGCTTGACATGGAACTTTTAAAGCCTGAGATTCGAAAGGAAGCTCGCAAAGCACTGCTTCCAAAATTTGTTTCGAATGTAGTTTCGAGGATCACTCATCGTCCAAGCCCATTGGTGAACCCCCTGTCAGACCCGAAAACTTGGCACACTGGTTGTGGATGGCCATGGGTGCTGAGCGAAGGGGTTTGCCGCTTAGATTACGAAGAGGACGAGGTAGATCCAACTTATAAGAAGTGCCTGAAGTGTTTCGTTGGTTGATTGAAAGTAGGAGGCTATGGAAGGCAGGGTCTATCTGATTCCTTCTTGGTTGGAAGATGAAAATTGTTTAAGATAATGCACTTCTATAGTCCCTGCACTTTCAATACAAACCAGATTCGATACCAACCATCCGCTCGGAAAATCAAGTGCTTTCCTTTCAAGGGATGGTTGGGTGGGGGACACTGAACAACCGCTGTTTCCTGCAGGCTCATTTTGAAAGGATCCTTCATGGATGAAAGATGCCGCAAAGCCATTGAAGCCTTCAGACAACTTTCCTAAAACTTCTCAAGCCAGGGCTTTACCCTTCAGAGAGGCTTCAGAACACTGGCGCAGATCTCCACGGAAAAATTGCGGTTTGGGACGAATGGTGACAACAATTATGACATGATTTCAGCGGAAGCCTGAGTCTTGAGAGTCCTGAGTCCCTTGATTTCCAAAGAGGAGGCAGACATGAAACATTGGTAGAATCAGTCAATCCAGGCTTGGCCTCAGCTTGTAAAAGAGCAAAGTACACCATGTTCATATCCCAGAGTTTCCATCTATTGGCACCCAGGTGTGGGCATTGGCATGCCTTTGGATACAGCTTGCAGGCCGGATTGCAGGAAGAGAGGTTGATCCTAGGTACGTCTTGGACGATATGCACACATTGCTGACAGTGTTTTGGTCAGTCACCAGATTGATCAGTCGACACGTGACATAGAACCTCGAAGGCTTTCACTTCTGGGCTGATGCTCAAGCTGTCGTTTGTCGCAAGCAGCTGAGATTCCGTTGTTTCTCATGTGCTTTTGGGCAGCTTTCTGGAGCTTCAAAAGATCCGACACGATGTTGTTTGGGCAGCTAAATAGAGCGACAAGTGGGGTTGGTCACATGACCCCTAAATGAGAGGATGTGATCTCAACGATAGACTGGCCTGCTTCAACTATTTTTCAAGTATCTTAGGTTGGTAGCCTTTGGTTTGTATTTCATGACATTGGACGGGCTTCAATCCACCTGAAGCGTTTCCCCAAGTTGATCCAAGCGGTCCAAGCATTGACCACCGAGAAGACTTGATGCTTTTGGCAAGGAGTCAAGGTGCTCAGCGACTTGGAAGGCGCGCAACTTTGACAGGATACAGTACTGTATATATTACATCTCCACCCTTACTAGCGATGGAACCTAATAGCGATGGCCTCCAACCCAATTCCGATGGCCTCCACACAATAGTGATGGCCTCCAACCTACTAGCAATGGCATCCACATAATAGCAATGGCCTCCAACCTAATAGAGATGGCCTCCAACCTACTAGCGATGGCCTCCGACCTAACAACGATGGCCTCCACCCTAATAGCGATGGCATCCAGACAATATCGAAACATGGCCTCTACATAGTAGCGATGGCTTCCAACCTAATAGGGATGGCTTCCATCCTAATAGCCATGGCTTCCAACCTAATAGCGATGGCCTCCACATAATAGCTACTACTCTATATCTTTTATTTATATCATGAGTCTCCTGAGTCTGGCCGCTTCAGCAAAGTTTGGAAGGTGAAATCGTTGGGAGGGTCGGCAGCGATGGCACATCGAGGCTGTCGTACAGTAGCTTTGTGGGTTTTGAGCTGTTTGATGCTTTGGCATGCTTTGGCTATGCTGAGTTTTTGTCATGGCAGGGAGGGATGTGCTTGGCACATCTATCCCGGGCTGTCTTTGAGAGTTCGGCTCTTGGGTGCTCTTCGGCCCTTTATGGACAGAGTGTGCTTGATTCAACACGAGCAGAAAAGCGTAGACTGAGTAGACCAAATGTCGCGGATCAACCTCGCCGAATGAACCAAGATCGAACTTGAGCCATCAAGCCATGGCCATTCATCCTTGCACCACTTCTAGCCATAAACAATCACGTGTGGCTGGCTCTGGATACAAATGCTGCACCTCTTTGATTTATGTAACTGCCCCAGTGGAGCTGCCACCTAAACAGCACAGCCCAAGGCCATTGAATTTCACTTGCTCGAGCCGGCGCACTTTGAAGGCTCGAAAACAAACACCGGGTGGATAACACGGCAACAACAAATGGCAGCGGCATTGATGATACAAGTCTTTGAGCAGCAGTATTGAGAACTTTTATGTGAAAGAAACATATCACATTTTCACGGCGTGAAATAAGAAACATATACACATCAATGATATGATAATATGAGATGCTCGAACTTGCTGAGCGGCAGGTTCTGACCGGTTGATTGTCTATGGGTGGGCACCTTTGCCTTTTTGCCTTCCCTTGCTTTTTTTGGATGGAGGCCATCGCCAGTAGGCTGAAGGCCATCGCTAGTAGGCTGGAGGCCGTCGCTAGTAGGTTGGAGGCCATCGCTAGTAGGTTGGAGGCCATCGCTAGTAGGTTGGTTGGAGGCCATTGCTAGTAGGTTGGAGGCCATCGCTAGTAGGTTGGAGGCCATTGCTACTCCAAGATGTGAAAGTCGATGCGTTTGGATAAATTGTGCGTCCCAGCTTGGGGAAAGATTTTTGGAAGTCGATGCAAAGTTGCGTCCTGCTGGTGTTTAGCAGATAGACCTTTTCTCAGAAGATGACTTTTCCATGCACATAGTGCACACCAGAAATCCAATAAAGCCGCCGCTAGGTTGCAAACTGGTTGTGACAAAGCGAGCGCTGTTGGTGTTCTTACTTCAAGTAGAGGAAGTGGTACCTGTGTGTGCTTTGCAGCCTGGGTTTGTGCGCATTGAAGCCTGCTGCTACTGCTGCTGCCTGGCTGCTGCTTGTTTGCTGCTTGTCTGCTGCGGCTGCTGCTGCAGCAGCTGCTGCTGCTTGTCTGTTGCTGCTGCTGCTTGTCTGTTGCTGCTGCTGCTTGTTTGTTGCTGCT